AAAAAAAAAAAAAAAAAAAAAAAAAAAAAAAAAAAAAAAAAAAAAAAAAAAAAATCAAAATAATACAAATAACGTTAATTTATAATTAAATAACTAACCACGATTACTTAAAAATAAAAAAAATAAAAAAAATTTACCCACCTCTCTCCACTAACCTCTCCTCCCAACCTCATCCTCTTTCCTCAACCCACCATATCACAATTCATCCAAAAAAATAAACAGAAAAAAACGTCATATTTGAAAAAAAGTAAAATGGTGTTTCAACAAGGATATGATAGCGATGGTGTTTCAACAAGGATATGATAGAGATTTTGGTCTGTTATTACGGTAAAATCCAATCTCAGATTTCGATATCGATCAAATCTTCTTTTATATTTTATTAGATCATGTAATAATCAGATCCCATATTCAATTAATTAGATTTTTTTTTTGTTAGCTTATAGGAAATAAGATTAAAATCTATACAATTTTAGTTGGCAGATACATAAGATAATAGCCAAACAATCAATTAAAATTGGCCAACAATATCTGTTTATAGAATGAAAATAAATATAGAAGGAGAGGAATATCTTATTTACAGAAATGAAAATGTTTACAGAACTGAAAGAAGAAAAATAATTACTGGAGGAGGGAAGATTGAGGGAAGAGTTGTTGAACAGAATTTAAAAATAAAACAGTAAATATCATAGGGCATGAAACTCAGTTAAATTTTGTCTAATAGGAAATATCATAATTTTAACCATGTAAATTAGAGAAATAATTTTATAGAGTTCAAACTTGAAACTGATGTCATAGGCTCACATAGGTTGACTTGGATTTCAAAAGACGAAATCGAACTTTCAATAAAGATATATACGTGACAACGACTTAAGCTAACTAGGTAAGCGGCTCACCCATCTTAGGTTACGCGTTAATTGTTGTATGTTGGCACGTGCCCGTGGACTTGCACATGTCATCAAATTGTATGCTAGTTTAATGTGCTTAAGTACGAACTCATGTGAACGTGAATGTATGCTATGTATGCTGCTTAGTTCGATGTGATATATTATGCATGTGACGATATGTGGTCCCTGAATGATTATGGCATGATTGTACGGAGTACTTGAATGTAAACAGCATGAATTGTATGACATGAAATACGGTAAACTGCATGGAAACATAACCCCGATAGGAATATGTATGATACGTAAAGAAATGAAAAT